TTGATAAGTGTGAATGAACGAGGCATCAATAATTGTGGGTACGTTGTATTTGGGGTGTTTTCTAGTTTCTCATCCTGTTTTACTCTCCATTTCCTTTTCCTATCCGAATCTCCTTTCAACATTTTCTTTTCTTTCCTTTTTAATGGAGGGGGGGAGCACATGCCCCTAGCTACCGTCGTAGCTATAAGGGCGCTTCGTATATATGTAGTGCAGTCCTGAATGCATGACAAATATAGGGAAGGGGGAGAGAGGGTAGGAAGGGAGAGAGTGGTGGGAGGGAGAGAGATACAGTGAGGTAGAGAGAAATTCAGGCAGACAAACATACACAGAAAAGAGAGAGAGAGATAGAGACAGACAGACAGGCAGGTTTACAGAGAGAGCGAGAGATATATATAGACAGACATAAAGGTTTACAGAGACAGAGAAAGACAGACAGACATAGAACGGAGAAGCAGAGAGAGAGAGAGAGAGAGAGAGATGGATAGATGAGGGAATGGGAATGGTTACTCTTGAAGGATGTGGTTTGGCGCCATGCTCCAGTGTTCTCACGCCATTCACTGCCAATGGTTGTTCGTCAGCACCACCTTCGAATGTGCACACAGACTGCCACAAGTAAAACCATGAAGCAAAATGGTCTCCAGCATGATCGGGTAATGGGCGGGAAAATGGGACCATAAATACTGCATGGTCGTTTGGATCGGTGGTCGAGGGTTGCACGAACTTTTAAAGAGGGAGTTTCTGTGCAGAGGTCTATGTAATGAGAACAAGAGGGCGGGATACAAACAGAGAGAGGGAGAGAGGGAGAGAGAGAGAGAGAGGGAGAGAGAGAGAGGGGGGGAGGGGTGGGGAGAGGGGGAAGAGAAAGATATACTTGAGGAGTATATGATAAGGAAAATAGATAATAAGAAATATAGATAAGGGAGGGGAAGGAGATAATGACAGAGAGGGAAAGAATAGAGAGAGGGATTTGGAAAGGGAGGAAATGAGCGATAGAAGGAGGAGGATAGAAAAAGGGGAGTGGAAGAGAGAAGGGAAGGGAAAACGTGAATATGGGAGGGGTAAATTTCGAAGAAAGAGAGACAATGTTAAATGTAGATAGAGGAAAGGAAAGAGAAGGGAAATACCATGAGAGTTACATATAGAGAGGGAGAAAGAAAAAGAGATGTTATCATGATCCTGGGAGATAGACAGAAATATTAAGAAAGAAAAGAGAGATATAAACCGGTGAAGAGAAATAATATGACGTGGAAAGGGAGAGAGGGAGAGAGAGAGAGAGAGAGAGAGAGAGAGAGAGAGAAAGAGAAAGGGGGAAGAGACAGACATAGCGAGAGGAAGAAACAGAGAGAGAGAGAGAGAGAGAGGGAGAGCAAAAGACAGGGGAAAAGAAGGATGAGGAGAAAGAGAGAGAGAGAGAGAGAAAGAGAGAGAGGGAGAGAGAGAGAGAGAATCAGTATAGGATCGACGTTACAAGCTACAAATATCTACTACGATTTCAAATTAATAATGAAATGATGCCCCCTTGCTCGTCTTAATATAAATTCGCTGTCTTGCCGTGGCTGGCATCCAGCTAGTGGGCTTGAACTCAGGGATACATGTCAACAAGAGATTTGTTCCTCTCAATGTTGATAAGATACCAGCAATTGAAAGACGATAGATCTAGAGGATGACCTTCTCGGCCCGACCTCCGTCGTCCTGTAAATCAATGAAATGTTTATTTCCATAACCCATTTTATCAAATGAAAATATCCTATGCATATAAATACAGTGCACCATTTCTACGCCGCTCAAAAAAAGTATACACGTTATAGCTAAAGGGTAAATGAATGGTTGATTTGTGGATTACATTTTTTAAAGGTAATCTTCAATATGGAACTCTTCTTTCTTTTTTTTACCATGCAGTACATATTCTACGATATGTTATACATGTTATACAAACTGTGCCAAAATAATCATTCAGATTTTTCTCAATTGTTTCACGCCTTTAATACTTACCGACAACATGGTAGATACTGGACATTTGATATGTATTTCTGCGTTATTTTAAAGACGATAACATAGTTATGTATGTACTTTGCTGTGTAAACTTAGGTAATCAAGTTATAATTGTGTGCAACATTTGCCATATATTAATTATTACTACTACTTGTACGACGATACTCAGCAGGATCCATAAGTCAGGATGTATAGCGCTGAGGAATAAACTATCTAGTTCTTGGTCTAGATGCTGGGTGGAAGCGCTCCCTTGAAGCGCTTCCTTTAAAGCTTATCTGCCATAGTTTACAGGAGGGATTAGAGCGCCCTGCAAGATCACTGGACAGGTGGTAGAGAGAGAGAGAGAGGAGAAAAAAGAGAGAGAGAGAGAAGGGGGGTGAAGGGGGTAGGTGGTTAGATATTGACATACTGCCAGACAGACATAGAGAACAATTAGATATTCCAGTTAAAGTAATTAAGATCCTGACGATTCAATCATGTGGACTAAAATGGAATGATTATAGTCATAAGGAGTTTGGTTTCATCCTTGCAAGATCGCCAATGACAGAGACGGAACGACCTCGAACACGAGGAGGAATCGGTAATCGACCATGAATGCATCCTCTCAAAAGTGACTGCTTTATTATACCCAGTCTCGCCGACGAGACCTTGCCAACCGAATTGGCATGTATACGGTCTAATTTTACTATGAACGAACCGGGGCGTTGTGTGGCGTGCGCCTGTAATCCATCTAACAATCTAACAATGAAGTTAAAAACTGATTCAGCCGAGGACACAGGTTCGAATCTGAGTCACGTCTTTATGATGGTGACGTTAAAGGTCGGTCCCCAGACGTAAATGATCATATCTGATTGATACACGTCTATAAAAACCCAATTGTACACATTCAAAACGCAACTTTATGCCTATGGTTCTTTGGTATTGACCATGAAACGTATTGTGGAAAATCGTAATCTAGCTAACAATGGAATCTACAAACTGATTCAGCCAAGGACGCAGGTCCGAAACGGAGAAAACATGACTGCGTCATTCTAAAACCAGAGTGGTTATAGACATATACTCTCATAAGATGAAGTGTTGAACTTTCCATCAATGGATGTTATAGAGAACGCTTAAGTACGTGAGGATGGCGACACCTTTAATGCATTTGTTTCCATTAAAAAGGTGTTTTTATTAGTAATTCCGAATTGTCTAAACGTGGTTCAAATTCTGTATAATACGATACATAGTTTCATGGGGGCATTAATTTCGTTAGAAAAAGTTGAAGCTGATCACTGTTATGGTTCAGATGGTAAATTTGATTAAGCAATGCACAAGATGCCAGAATGGGATGTGTTCCGAAAAGACGATTCCAGAAAGCAAACTCGAGATGGCGCTAGACATGATCATTGAACGTGCAGCAAGGGTTGTACTGGTTATTATTCATATTTGCGAGACAGCTTCCAGAATGTTGCAAAGAGTATGAATATTTCTGTTTTTGTACCAGCTGAGGGTGATTCTATACAGGCCTAAAAAAGTCTCCCTCTCTCTCTCTCTCTCTCTCTCTCTCTCTCCCAATATTATTGCCAGCAACTCCGCGCCCCTTAAATATTTTGTTTTTAAACATTGCATTTTATAATTGACTGTTGAGTTTTGCCACTGTTCATGCAACTACATTGTAAATAAATATATTTGGAAGCTCTTGGGAAAGGATAACTATGTAGAACATGTTCGAGCCGGAATTGTCTAGTTTCTCACCAGACGTGTACATTAAGTATCGCCTTTTTCCAACCGAGCTTGAGATGTTATATGTTCATTATTTTTCAGACATTTTATATACAAAAATTGCCTATGTAGGACTTCGAGGTGATCCTTTTGCATTATGTTCATGCAACCTTAAAGAGAAGGTTGAGTTCTGGGAAGAAGTGAAAAATAATTTGTGAGCATTTTCATTGTTATTATGCAAGTGTGGAACAACATCAGATAAAAAATGTTCCCTGAAAAGCATGGCTCTTCAGGTGCTTTCATATTCTAAATATGGCATGTAACAACATCAAAACTCGGGACGGATTTTTATGCCACATGTTTGTGTAGCCCCATATGTTTCTGTGTACAGTGCTTGTAACTTTACCAATTTCTTATCATTTTGATGATTCCAGAACCTTGCAGTACACACCAATACTTATAAGCTAGATGATCAACCTGTTCTGATCGATTCCACACCGTTTCTTTCACAATGCAATTGCATGACCATAACTCAACTTTATCTTTAAGTCAGAGAGAGAATACCGTTCTGTAGAAGAACCAACATCATGAAATCAGGAAGCGATATCGGCTAAAATGCCGCACATAATTTGTTAATGTCATCGTCCTTGTATGGTACCGTGAAAGTCACACAGCATCGACATGATTCGATCTATTAGAGATATTATATTGGCTTTGATGTCTCATGATTAGATAATACATGCTCAATTACATCTCGACCTGTCATTTGGTGCAAGCCACAAAAATGTTGAAAGTGGAAATCCACCCCCCCCCCCCCCACCTTTCCTAGCTGACTGGTCTCATATTTTTCCTTGTCTGCACCCAAACATTATGTACTTTTACGGTCTTTTTTTAACAACGGTTTAACGTTCTTTCATTTTTGGAAGAAAAATGTCACAATAACTTTTCCCTCGAAATAAAAACTAGCAATCAAAATAGTATTATATTGACTGTCCTTTGTTAATGTTAATGAATATATTAGTTAATAATTAAAGAATGATCCCCATTTGATATTGAATATAGGTTTTAATTCAAAACAATAAAAACTACCAAAATAATACATCCTTGAGAGATATTTTGTCAATTACTTGTATCGTATAGTCATTATCATAACCATTATCATCACCATCATCATCATCATCATTATCAGTGTCATTTCAATAGTGATCAGTATTACTTTTACATTTATTATGATTATTAGATTATTATTATTATTATTATTCCATTTTTCAACTAAGTATTTTTAATTTTGTTTTTCCACACAGATATCATCGTTGTCTTACTGGAACATGGGATACAGCTAGGAGACGCCCTCTTGCGAGCGGTTGACGAACAGTTCATTTATGCGGCTCAGATAATCTGCGAGCACATCAAACAAAAAAATATTCCGGTAATGTAATTTGCGTTTACTTTCCAAATATTGGGTTTCAGGGAATTTAACCAAAAGAGATATAAAGGCAGAACTCATGATTTCACGTTTAATCGAATTAAAGGAATGCATCCAAAGTATTCTTTTTTTTTTATTGTTCCAAATTTTACAACCAAATATAGACATACATATAAAATTTTAAAAAATATACAAGTCATGAAGTATAAATGGGCACGTCTCAATGATTCTCAATTCATATAATAGATTGAGTGAAATGTGAGGAACCTATTAAAAAGCAGTACTTGTATATTATAGGTTCCTGGACAAATAAGTATTGTAGAAGAAAAAGCCGTAGCAGTAGAGAAGGACGCAATTTAAAGGGAAGAATTTAAAACACAATGGAATTAGGAAATATTTCAAACACGAGAGGGGAACCCCCCCCCCCCCCCCCCAACAAAACACACACACACAAAAAAAAATCAGTCTTCTTATCATTTTGAACAGGTGGATTCAAAATTATATTTTGCGTGTATGGTTATATATTTATGTTTTTTGTTGTCGTTGTCTTATCGTTCTGCAGGAGTTTTTAAAATGTCGCGCCCTCAACGGTGACTTCCATCCCGACATCACCCCAATCGTCCTTGCCGCGCATCACAACAACTATGACATCATCAAGATCCTGCTGGAATACGGTGCTCGAATCGAGGACCCCGAGTACTATGCCTTTTCGACCGAGACCAACACACTTCAGCACTCTCTGGGAATGTTGAACATTTACCGTGCCCTGGCCAGCCAAGCGTACATCTCACTGACAAGCCTCGATCCCATCAACACCGGGTTCGAACGTTGCGTCAAACTGCGCAAGCTCTGCCAGATCAACCCAGAGTTTTCCGTCGAGTTCAACACGTTGGCTGGCCAATGCGAGCAGTTTGCAGCCGATATCCTCGGCCATATTCGGAACCAAGCGGAACAAACGTGCGTGTTGTATCATGACCCTTGCTTTTATAGCATCGGCGAGAGCGGGATCGGACCTTACAAAGTTAAAATTGCTATACACCACGAACAGAGGAAGGTAAATTGTCTCAAAACTTATTGAAAGACCGGAAAATTATGCCATAATAAACTATATAAGAACAAATCGTGAGCTTTTATTTTCAGTTATTTAATAGACAATTTTACTGACTATTACCAACTTTATTATTTAGGCATACTTGCCGAACAACACTTGCCCTTCACGATAAAAAGAATATACATTCCCGACATATCAACAACTGACAAGACCTATTCATTCACTTATTGTAATGTTTGTTTGTTTCTCTTCCTAACCCTTTGCTACTAGCAATTTCATCTCTCCGGGTGGAATCCACTTTTCATACATTAGTTGTTACTATGTCGGGCAAGGTAATGACATGTTTTTCAGTCGGCAGGAGAGAATTTTGTTCAAAAACTATGCATTTCTCATCCCAAAGTGTATTTGCATTGGAGGAATGTCAATAGATGGAGAATGATCAGTAAAGAAAACTTCAGTCTTATTTTCTCAAGTATCTACTTCTAGACAAATTTTGGAGTGGATATCCGTTGACAAAAAATTGTCCGTTATAATTATGTTTAACACAATTTACCATCGTCAACAATATAATTCCGTCATCGAGATTTTTGACGCAATTTTATCTTTTCCACACAGTTCGCTGCCAAGTATTCCGTCATTCTGATGTTAACCCATTGCTTCCTGGGACCGGGTGGTTCCCGAATTAAACATATGGGGAATCCAAGAACTCAGTAGTCGACGGGTTAATTAACACACCTTTGTTTATTTTTATACACAGTTCGTAGCGCACCCCCATTGCCAACAACATCTGACCCAACTATGGTATGAGGGTCTGCCTTCCTGGTACATGACCAATTGGATCTCCTCGACGCTCTCCACCTCTGCGATTGGATTCGGTTTCCCAATCCTTTGTCTTCTGTACATTATCTACCCATGGGGGAACATCGGTCGCTTAATGAGAGTCCCCCACGTTCAGTTTGTATGCCACATCAGTTCCATGTTAGTCTTTTTGCTTCTCCTCGGTCTTCAGTCCTCCTTCACTCCGAAATACGACGACGATCCCGACGTCGATCAACGTGCGGAAGTTCCGAAACCTACGGAGTGGCTCATCCTCGTATGGGTCATAGGTAAGGATAAGAGTCGAATTGCGCCATTTAGGCACACTGCGTTAATACACTGCACCAATTAATATTGTTTAATAATAATCCGGGGTTTTTATATAGCGCTCAATACACCGACCCAACGATGTGCCTACGCGCTTTACAGATATATTATTACCCCGGTCATCGGATTCAGGCTCACCCACACACAATGTGTGCACATTTTCCACTCCCTGGGGAGCATTCCAGCCAGTCGCCATTTTACAGGCGCACACTTGCTCGTTCAACCACATGAACGTTCGCATCCTACCGGGTACCCATTTAACACCTGGGTGGAGAGTAGCAAGTGCAGGTAAATACCTTGCCAAAGGATATTAGTGCCGTGTCGGGAATCGAACCCTCGACCACTCGACCACGACACTCCCGCTCAATATTACGCGTGCAGAAAATGCATCTGAGAGAGCGACAGTCTGATTAACCCTACCTTACCTATGGGAGGTCAAACCTGATTATGAACAAAAGCCTTTTAAAGCCCAGCGCTGGGTTTGATTTTTAGTCAAGTACGGGCCTCATGTTATTTAGTATGCAGTGACAAGTGACGCTCCTTAATTTACATAAAAGTTACCATCATTTACAGAATAGAGCTCTAGGCTCTCTGCTTTTCTATCGTGCACGCTCTCCAATAGACCGGTGAAGTAACACATTTAAATTGTATGCATACTTTTAAGCAAGAAAGGTTGTTCTTTAATACAACCTGGAAGCTTGCCCGAGGCTTGGCCCACACAGCAACAAGTAATGAATGCAGAATCGATTCCAAGCATTGTAGTTCCTTCATTAATAATAGGCTGATAAAATTACTCGACGCTAGGTTCCCATGAAAGACACATCCAGTAATTTCAATATATTATAGTAAACCGGTTACATATTCGCTATTTATCTAAATTTTCTGTCTTTTTTTTTCCTTATGTTTTTTCTTCTAGGTCTCACATGGGTAGAAATTAAAGAACTTTGGTATTACGGTTCGCGATATCTCAAAGATCGATGGAACATCCTGGATTTCTTTACGCTGTCGCTCTACTGGGCCGCCATTGCTCTCAGGATAGTCATTTATCGAAGGGTACTTAACTTGCAATTTCCCGAATGATGTTTCTTACACATCGGTTACATGTATTGTTTCTAAATTTCTATTGACCCATTTCGCCTTCATGTCGAATCAGCTGTTTGAAGCCACAATGGCATTTATCTATGATACTTTGATATGGGAGTTAACGTCCTTGTGACACGAAACATATGACATGTTAAACGTTTCCGTTAATATCTTTGTACACTGTGTATCACGTATTCCACCATGGCTTATAATAAGTATTGACCCCGCAATGTTAATTATGAAACATAACCTAGGCTTTTCTCTGCTGGACTTGTATATACTTAAATCAGTGTTATAATATATTATGGACATGTGAAGTATATTACACTTTTTAAAAAAACAGCCGCGGTTTATTCGCGTCAATACTGAACGAGGCCTGAATCGTCACATTTATTTAACACGATCAAGAGAAAAGGTTTTAAAGATTTTGTTCATGTTTATTCTATTCTATTTTCTATTTCACAGCATGGAATGGCAATGGAATTGATGGAAATCCCTCCGACGACGATGCTGTACTCGACCATGGAAATCCCGACGGCGTTTACGGACGACGAGTTCACGACATCGGGTGAAACCCCCGTGACGGTAACGGACCCGGCGACCACCATGGAGATGTCGAACTGGGAAGCAGTTATCGTCAGGATAGAACGTCTTCACAAGGATGTAATGGACATCGACGAGGAGCAAACAGACATCGGACAGTCACTTGCCAAGGGAATCGGTGATATCAAGTCACAGTTGACCCTCATGGATGAACGAATGGCTAAGATCGAGGCGGAGAGTGAGGCGGCGGCAGTGGCTGCACCAGTGGTCAGTGGTGGTCGGAGAGGAAAGAAAGCGGCGGCTGGCACAGCCACGAATACAACAAGAACAGGACGTGCGAACTGGAGCGCCTACGATCCTCTCTTAATATCTGAAGGGTTGTTTGCCATAGCCAAGGTACTAAGTTTCCTCCGACCCATCTGTTATACTGTTATGAACCGTCACGTCGGACCTATGCAGATCTCCCTCGGCAACATGATGTTCGATATCTGCAAGTTTCTCTTGATTTTTTGTTTTGTGTGGTTCGCCTTTTCACTCGGAATGAATCAGTTATATGGATATTACTCGTACATCACTCGCGTAATATGTGACACTAATAATCCTATGGAGGAACATTGTAAACAACCGTTTGAAACGTAAGTATGTCATCCCTTAATGCCTCTTTTACGGACCGTGGTGCAGATGATTTATATAAATATTGTTTTTCTTTCAAACGTCCGTTTATCTTTTCCGACTGACTGAAAATCTTTACGGGGATAATTTAAAAATTACATGGATACCGGTATTTTAAACTCTGAACTACTATTGGTAAGCATGATATATCGTGAGATGAGCATTTAGGGTTTGAATATTTCAAAATATATATTAATACTGTTGGAGGTATTTAAATAATTATAATTTGTTAATTTAACTTTTATCATTTGTTTTGTTTCCTTCTCTTCCTCCTTTTCTTATTCTTCAGAATACAGAGTTGAGAGCAATACACAACAATGATGGTTTTCGTTGATCAAATTATAGGACTGACATTAACCCGAATAATGTTTTGAATGTGAAAAGGGTTCCATACAAATAAATAAATAATATTATGTGTGTGTATGTATACATACAGGGTTCAATAGAGTCCACAGCGCTCACATTAACTTGAATTATGTTTGGAATGTGAACAGGATTCTGTATTTTTAAAAAAACAGAATTGAGTGGAATACACAACAACATTGAACAAATATTCACATTAATCTGACGTTATGTTTGAAATGTGAACAGGGTGCAGTATACGATGAGTACTTTATTCTGGGCTCTCTTTGGATTGCCTGAGATGAACATCGTGGACATCCGTGGAGTCGACCATGAATTCACCGAGACGGTGGGACTGATGTTGTATGCTGCTTACCACGTCATCGCCATCGTCGTCCTTCTCAACGTCCTCATCGCTATGATGAGTAATACCTACACTCGGATAGAGGTGATATATACAGCACAGACAACAAAATATTCAATATATAACTGGGAACAGGACCTTAATCCACCAAACAGAAGAAACGTTCAGTTTCTTAAGAAATATATTTTAATCAAAACATTTCGGCATGGATCCCATAATTCCTAATACAATACCTCTAGCTATACTTGTTCATACTTAATATACACTTTGAATAAAAGTGTATGGCTGATCATATTGAATAGGGGCGTTTTCATTTGATGTTGTCGGCAAGGTGTCGTTGTACGGAGGTACAGTGGTTCATTCACTTTGCTCTCAATCCTAGGGATGAGGGTTCGAATCCTTGCCCGGCACTAACCTCCTTTGTCATCTGGCAAGACATTAATCCACATCTGTCACTCTCCACCCAGGTGTAAATAGGTAAATGGGTATAATGATAAAAGCATGGCACACAGAAGGAGCAGTATTGATGCTGAGGATTTTCTGGGTAAACTAAAATTGTATATATTTTTATCCTATTATTATGACAAGATGTTTGCAGGAAAGAAACCCAGCAAGCAAAATAAAGAATTGGCATTATCATTGGTGATTATACAAATTCTTAATTTGCCAACAGAAGTTTCTAAATCTGATGGAAGCCTAGCAAAACCCTGTGCCTTAGCATGTATAACTTACACAAAATGATTTATAAATTCAATTTTTTTTTTTACAGGACGACTCCGAAGTGCAGTGGAAATTCTCCCGGTCCAAACTTTGGATGAGTTATTTCGCTGGCAGGGGATCGTTACCGGCACCTTTCAATGTCCTCCCAACGCCCAAATCCATGTTATATTTATTCAGATGGTTGCGAGGAAAGTTGGGCAGTGAAAAGCATAGGCAGGAGATCAGGGTAAGTGCGTGTCTTTGCAGGCGTGGATTCACGAATCGATGCTAAAGGTTGGTATTCTCGAAATCGGACTAACTTTAGTCCATAGTTTAATCCACCGATTGGAATGCCAAGTATCCATACGAATATTTTTTTGAATAATTCAATCTGTCACTAAATTAAAATAAAATGTAATAACATAATTTTAAAAAATATATAACTATGATGTAATTATGTTATCATGGTAATTTTAGGGACATATCAAATTATTCAAAAATATATTGATATGGACACTTGGCATTCTATACCTAGTCAATGGATTATTAAACCACGGACTAAAGTTAATCCGCTTAGTCGAGAATACCACCCACATACTTTAGAGCAATCAACCATACCAGTATCCTTTTCCATAACCCTTTAAAAATGTGCAAGTATTACAACGAGGTAATATCTTATCCGGATATGATTTCTAGGGGGATAAGCATCAGGTCATTCAGAGTGCCCACGAGTTGGTTTCCTAAATGTCTGTGCAATCGTATCATTTTTCAGACAAAGACCGGCAAAGGCCCTAAATATCGGTGGCAAGCACGTCAGCAGAAAAGTTTTTAAATTGTTTAACAATCTTTAACAAAAATGATTATTCCCTTCCCCCTTCCCCTCCCCTCGCCTCTGGCCATCCCCCTCCCGCTTCCTGGATCCGCCTCAAGTAATGCCATGGTCATGATGGCAGGCATCGGGTGCGTGAGGTTTAATGTTTGAAAGTTGGCCCTGCAGAGTGGGAAAGTTACGACTATATTCGTACGAATTAGGGCAGTAATGTTGGATTTTAATGGTAATTTTCAATGACAGATCCCTCTTTATTCCAGCTCAGATCTGGGACAGCAATCCATCAGTTATTACAATATCTCACTTCTCCTCTCTATGTTTTAATATGAGTTCAGTACATTATAAGGATTAACCTACCACCTGGGTATCGTTCCACGAAACCACCATAAGTACAAGTTCACCGATATCCCATTCAACACGCATTCCAATGGGTCGTCAGCGAACTTCTGCCGACTTTTATGCTCAGCGTATGTCTCGTTGAATATCGACTAAACTTCAAGGAGTTTATGTCTGGTTGAAATGACCCCATGGTTAATATTGAGAGGAAGTAGCCACCGCAGAACAAACATGTGGCTAAAGAACGGTGGCAACTCCTGGGACCCGTTTCACAAAGCATTTTTTCAATGACAAATAACAAAAATCAGTGACAAATCTGCTGATAACCAATCAGAAGCAAGGATTTCAGTAGCTTATAACAAAGACTGTCATTTGTCACTGATGTCAAGTTTTGTGAAACGGGCCCCTGGTGCCGCCTTTTTTCTCTACTCATGAAAATGATTATTTCTTCTTTTGTTTGGATTTATAGGACAGGAATAAAGCAAAGATGGAGGAGAAGGAGCAGCAATACAGGGTAAGCTTTAGGAAACTTGGGAAACGGTCAACTTAAAGTAAAAGTTATTATTTATAGTCCTGAGGCTGCCACCACGTTCAAGCTCTAGCTTTAGATAGCGGTCTCCTTTTTTTTAAATTTTGAAATGATTCGTCAACTACGTGATCTTTTGAAGGTATAATTATTTAATTGATTAATATTATGATCTGATTATATATGTATTTGACTTTTTTTTTAGTAATATAATATATGTACCTAGTTTGTATATTTCTTTCTATTACGCAAAAAAAATGCAGAAATAAAATCAAACAATCAAACAAACAGATATAGTCTAAAGAGCTACTTACAGAATCATCCGTAGTATAGCAACAGCAGTATTCATTGGTTAAAATGGGGGATGAAACTGAATGAGATGGACTATAGAGACGGAGAGTTTGGTGAAGTGGGCTCGCTAAAGAAATTTCCATCACTTGGTTCAATCATGAAAGTAAGATGACACACTTTGTTCAACGGTAAAACAAAACTAATGTTCACACCTGGTTTACGTCACAAAATCCCACCCTGATGATTTAACGGTAATCAGGAAACTGTACAACTTCTTTTGTCACTTTTCAGGAAATCATGGGCAAGTTGGTGAAACGTTACATCTTTGACGCGAAGAGAGACGAAGACGAAAACAACCAAGAACAATGGGTAAACCGGCTCAAACAGGATATCTCCGGATTCAAGTACGAGATGTTCGAAGCTCTCACCGGCATGGATAAAAAGATGAGCGAAATGGAGCAGCGAATTGAAGATGGCGGCGTCAAGGAGCCCGGAACCCAAATGTTCCACAAGATGGAGGACGTAGTAAAAAGGCCATTGTATCAGCCTGATAGCATGCAATCGGTGATATCTGGATGTTCTGACCTCATGACAGCAGCCTCCAAAGACCTGATGAATTCGAAAGGTTCGAACAATGCCGACAATTCGCCGATTCTTGATGATGGCCTCTCGGACCCATCGACTAAGAACCGCAGGCAACCGAAATCCACCTCCATGCCGTGCAACATAGCGGGGTACCTTTATCCTCCCGATTGGGAGAAAAACGAACCCATTTTGTTCATGGATGAGGATCCTGATGTGCCTATCCTTGGAGGTCCACCTCGCAAAGAGAGCAAGAAGAGGCGATTTAGCGCCAATCACATGATGAACCATATAGGTTCACGGCATCTCAAACGTAAAAAGTCACACACCAAGAACACCACTCGCGTTTGACAAGGATATGTGGATCGACACGATTTCGACTCCGAATGTCATCCAAACATTATCCCTGTCCTTTTTTCAACAGCAAATAACGATTATGATTATACAAATACTAATTATATATATGTATGTTCATGAACAATTGGTGCTTTTCGATATTTGGACTAATGTTTACGTATAATGACTGACGGTTTTATCCCTAACTTTTTCGGCCCTGGTAACGTGCTTATTATAACGCACATTGTTTTGCCTTGTTATGCCCTGGGTACTGTTTTGACGGGCCTATTCTTCGATCATTACATATCATGACGAGATTTTGTCTGTAGAAAGCAGTTTGATGATTGACCGTTTGATGGCAAATATGCTTTTACTGATACTGAAGTTAGAATATTTCTTTAGCCAATTTTATTCCAATTATGACGCGTCTTTACAGTGGTATTGTCTGTTGTGACTTGATCTTACTTCTCAAACAGAATCACTAATTTTAAAAAAGAGTGACACATAAAAAGAAATCTGAATTAATGAACATGACGTCGTTATCATATTGATTTAATTGATGAAAGCATTTTTCTCTAGCTTAAATGTTTGTGCTGTATCCCTGTAAATATTGGATAAAGTAAAGCAGATCAATTCGCTAGCGAGCGTTCGTGGAAGTGAACTTTTGGGGAGTTCACGATCACTATATCAAAAGATACAAAATAGGCAGGATAGACACATCAATGTCCTAATGATTATTTGCACCTTTATCTTGCAGATTTGGTATTAAAATATGGATAAGACCGTAGATCTTTATTTTTGAAGGGATCCGTCTTATTGGAGTAGTAGGGATTACGCCATCGAAGGGCACTAGCATTATAGTGGGGGAGGGGGCACCTGATGTATTATTAATAGGTTGGTAAAATGCAAAAGAAATATGATGTGGGTGAATGAGAGTCATTGTGTGGGGGTTGTATCGCATTCTTTTCACGTTGCCTTTCCTCTTCCTATCCCCCTTCTCGTCTCTCTGTCTCACTCTTAAGGACTGGGGGTGCCCCCATCTATACATCACTGGTCCCCCGCGACCGCCTAAATAGGGTTACAGAAGGCTCTAAGATTTAGCATCAATATCGTACTCCTCACATTAATGTTTGTTTGGGTTTTTTCGGACGGTGCATTGAGATACGCGCAGGAACAACAGTTGTAACAACTATTATAATTTACACTGCTTAGGTTTGTAAACTAAAAGGAGTTTAGGTACCTCTAAATGTCTCCATCTCATTAGCGAACTGCGAGTCAATATTTGTTTTTATCCTTTTGTAGTCATACAGTGATATCGTAATCATGAATTAGATGATGCAAATATTTTCAAGTTGATTTTGTCACAAATTTTTCTTTTTACAGTCATGTAATTATTCCGTTTAAAAAATATTAAAGAGGTATATATGCTTGGATTAAGTGTTTTGCAATAATAAATATTATTGTTTGTTCTAGAAAATGTTACTATTTAATACCTCTGCGGTCACTTTTTGCCAGTTTATGTTTACAACAAATTGAAATATCACCATCAATAGACCAGTTCACGGTTAGCACATTACTGCAATGACCCCGAATATCCACAGATCTTCAAAACATGAAGAGGTCCCACTTTGTACATTGTGAAATAATCATTCCTACAGCGATGAAGGTGCTATATAACATAGCCTTTGTTTTCCCCTTTGAAAGAATACATCCACCTGTGTATCATGGATTGCACTGAATGTGCAAGAATGAATAACGATTACATAACTTTCATGAGCACGTATCCAGTATTTCGTCTCCGTGTATTTCACAATTTGTTCTGCAATGACCTTGATCTGCTCATGCTCAGACTGCAACCGTGAACTCGCTTATTGCAATGGCGTATGTAGAAAGTGTAAACAAAGAGGGCTACGTATGTTTCAAAAGACAGCCCCACGTACCATAAGCACATGTATGTCACCAGAAATGTTGACATTCCTTTATTTATTTCTATTAAAAACACACATACAACTCAACACTAGTAGTTGAATATTTACATCAAAAGAAAAGAAACGCGGGCATAATGTAAGATATGTATGTAAACTGTTAGTTTTTAATCTAATTGGAAATTTAATTGTCTTTCATATGGCACCTTATACATGGTGAAATGGTCTCCAAAATATTTCAACAGTAGTTACACAGGGTGTACATTTTTTTCTAGCAGCTTACTGTCAAGGTTGTACACCTAGAAATTGTGCAGGAATTTCCCCCAAACAGATTGAGACTCAACGACCGTTTACAACATCCCATGTTTCAAAGCCTCCTAATTAGGTCTGACTACTCGAACTCTTTTCTTTGTTACTACCACAATCCTTATAAAACTGACTATTATAACTATTACTAATACTGCTACTAATACGTGTACTAATTCTAATTGCATGACTGTGTATGTTTTGATTAAGGTCGCTGATGTATTTGATAGGAATAAAATTATATGTTTGACCTACTTTGATTATACTTATCATGAGTTAGTAATCTTAATACCGACCATCACCACCACTACTACAAGAAGAACAACGACGGCAACAACAACAACAACAACAACTACTACTACTACTACTACTTCTCCTACTAATACTACTCCTACTACTACTACTATCTCTACTGCTACTACTCATACTACTACATATACTATTCTACTACTTTTACTATTATACTACTATTAAACTTCTACCACTACTAATACTAATACTATCGCTACTACTACTATTACTACTGATGTTGTTGCTTCTGCTACTACTATTACCCAAGTGAAATGATAAGGTAAATCCTAGCAATTGCTAATAACCATTGATCAGCATTGTACTGGCGTGTATAATACGTACGCCCTCACAAATGAATCATACTACTCCGACGACGACGACAGCTAGGTGTATTACTACTACTCCTACTACTACTACACTTATAGTGCATCTTATTCAATAATAAGTAACTTTTGTTTCATTAGCTACCTTTGCAATATTATATACCACTGCCATTGATACGTTCTTTTAATACGAATGTTACGTCCCATTGATATTGCTACAATTATTACTATTATACTGTTAAACTTGACAGTACCACAACGTATACCGTTACCATTTTTACTTTTACTACAACTACAACAACTACAACAACAACATCTACTACCACTACTTCTACTACTAAGATACTACGAGTAGTACTTCTATAATAACACCTTACACTACTTCTAATTGTGGTACTCCTACTACTGCTACTTCTATTACTACTACGACTCTTAGTACCACTGCAACAAAATAGAGATACAATTGTATTCATTGCAGCTTTTTAGGGCTTTATTAATACTAATATTACTTACACTCAAAGGCAACAACAATACCAATAATTACCGATGCTGCTGCTACTGATAGTGCCGCTGTTACCACCACTACCACTACTACCTTCGCTATTAATAGTAGTATTACTACAATTACTAATACTTCTACTATAGTAACTACCCTTACAAGGCCTACTTCTCTTACTACTACTGCTACAACGCCCTTTGTTGCTTTTTACTTATTACGCTATTAATACTGTTCATTAAAACTATACTACCTCGACTATTAAACTATAATGGATTTTCCAATCAATAGCAATGTCGAGGACCAATACTGGCCATTCGATGGGTCAACAGGCATCATAGGTGGTTAGAGAAACTAAAACTTGCACAACATAATTTACATTACTACTACTACTATTACTGCTACTACTACTACTAATACTACTACTACTACTTCTACTACTACTACTACTACTACTACTACTACTACTACTATTACTACTACACTTACTACTACCTATATTACCAATCATACTACGTGTACTACTACTACTTCTAATACTAATACTACTACTATCTTTATTACTACTTTTAATTCTGCTACTACTACTACAAGTGCTACTACTGCTGCTGCCACTACGACCTCTATTACTTCTACTTATATTATCACTGCTGCTGCCACTTCTATATACTTATACTACTTATTGCTGCTTATATGAGGTGATGGTGACTATAATAAAGGTGATACATGGCATCTATAACATATAACATCTATAACAAAAACATATATATTTATATATATGCACAGGTTACTCCATTAACGTCAACATTTCCACACCTGATATACTATATTGTAGAGCTGATATTCTGTGATTTAAATTTCGCGAAGAGCGGAAAGGTTCGAGTTTCACAAACGCTGACCAAAGGATAAAAAGCACAACCTCCATACTCATAGAAAATGTTTAATAAGTATAATGAGGGTGGTATTACTACCACTACTACTACTACTACTACTACTACTACTACCACTACTAATATTACTACTACTACTCCTACTACTACTACTACTACTACTTCGATTTCTCCCACTGCTGCTCCTGCTGCTACTACTAATATAACTACTACTACTACTCCTACTACTACTACTACTACGACTACTGCTACTACTACTGCTGCTGCTGGTGCTGCTACTACTACTATTACCGATTCTACTGCTGCTGCTGCTACTGATACCACTACTACCTCTACAGAACAATCGAGTACTACTAAAGTGATCGACATTGGTATCGTAGCTACACTTATTAACTATTACTATTATGTACTCCCATTACTTTCACTACAATTATTATTTTAACTGCAACTATTACTACTTCTACTACTGCTATCATAAATATTACTACTGCAATCATTATTACTACAACTATTACAACAACAACTACTAATACTACTACTATCACTACTGCTACTACTACTAATACTACTACTACTACATCTACCACTATGACTACTACTACTACTAATAATAATAATACTAGTACTAATAATATTAATACTACTTCTGCAGCTGATATTGCTACCAGCACTACCACCATCACTCACTGTTACCATGATAAAAAAACACTACTTCTTCTACGACAGCAACGACAACGGCGGATGATACTATAACTACTACAACTAAGATATAGTATTAATGTCACCACTATAAACATTATAGTTCTACTACATCGTTGACTTCATTCAAAACTTTAGTATGAACTAGTATTGAGAACCAGTAGGGTTTTAAACTTCGGAAAGACTCTCCATACATGTCATAGAAGAGAATTTTGTGTGGTAGTTAAATTGTTAATCTACAACAATTATTTATAATTCATACGTCAATTTTCCCAACGATTAATACGATACAGGTATATATACTATGTTTCTATTATCACCACCAAAATCACCAAAATCAGCACTGCTACTGCTCGTACTACTACTACTACTACTACTACTACTACTACTACTACTACTACTACTGCTGCTACTACTATTACTACTACTATTACTATAACTACTATTACTACTACTACTACTTCTACTACTACTACTACTACTACTACTACTACGACTACTACTACAACACGACTACTGATACTACTACTAGCACTACTACTCTTATTTATATTATAACTACTACTGATACTACTACTCCTCATCCTCCTCCTGCAACAACACCAACAGCAACAACAACTACTCCTATTATTATTACTATTATTACTACCTCTACTACTGCTACTACTACAACTACTATTACTGGTACTATTAATATTACTTATCCTACTCATAATTCTCATTCTACTACCTTGATTAATAATATAACTACTACCACCGATATAATACCACTACGACGACAACCATGACGAATATTACCCCTACCACTTCTGCAACAACTACTGCTACTTCCATTTGTACTACTACTGCATTTCCTACCACAAATAGCAGTATATACTAGTAATGCTGCTGATGTTACTACTACTACTACTGCTATACCAAAACTACTGCTACTACTGCTAATAATAATAACGATAATGCTACCACGACTCCAAATACTACCTGTACTACTACTACATAACCACCACCACCACCACCACCACCACTACTATTAATAATGATACTACTTTTACTTCTCCACCTATAACTACTACTGCCGCTGCTACTACCACTTATTCCATAACCGCTACTACTGCTACTTCTATTACTACAACTTATACTGCTGCTGCTGCTAGTACTACTATTTAAACCGTATAACTATTAACTACCAACTAACTATTATTAGTGCTAATACTGCTATTACTACTACTACTTCTGATACTAGTACTTGTAAAAGTAGTAGCAGTTACTACTACCGTTATCTCCCATTACGATTGGTACTATTACAACAACAACAGCAACAACTCCTACTTCTACTACTACTATTTTTATCACTATTACTAATGCAATTAGAAATAATGCAACTACGGCATCAACTTCTATTACTACATTACCATTATCCTACAACTCATGTTGATGCTACAACTTCTTTTACCACTTATACTACTGCTACTACGCTTTTATTCCTCCTCTCTTTAGTAGTAAAAACATTCAAATAGTAAAACTTAACAAATGGCATCGAGACCCCATACCCTAAACTATATAATAATACTAAAAATAAAGATAATATTTATAACAATAATGTCATGTCTAGCAC